GCAGTCGGACCGTCAGCCAGATGCTCGCCTGCTTCGTGGTCCTCATACTCTTCCTCTGCTCAATCACGTCCATGGTCAGTCTGCGAGGGCCAGCTGAAGTTGCGGTGGATCTGCCAGATGTTATGGATAAAAGTTTGGGTGTAGATGTGTGTGTGTGGGGTGGGGGTAGGGTGTGTGTGTGGGGTGGGGGTAGGGTGTGTGTGTGTGTGGGGGGGGTAGTTTGTGTGTGTGTGTGTGTGTGTGTGTGTGTGTGTGTGTGTGTGTGTGTGTGTGTGTGTGTGTGTGTGTGTGTGTGTGTGTGTTTATTTATGTATTTTTGTAAAGATGCGCTTTAAAAATTGATGATAACCAGCTGGAATGAACGTAAAAAAAATACATCGTTGTATTTCTTAATAATCAACTTCATCTTCCTGAGCCATTGAGATTCACTTACCATACATCTCGCTGTCCTAAAATCCTTTCAAAATTAATACCGACAATGTCCGAATGCTCATCCAAACTCGTCCCCTCTTTCAGTTCCTTCTGGATCTGGAGAGTTACCGCGACTGCAGCCTCCTCTCGGGCGAAAACATAACCAACCTGACCCTCGACGACGTCAACCGCACCTCCTCCTCGGGCGGGGTGGCGGACGGACTCACCCTCCAGGCTCCCGAAGTCATTTCCCTCAAGGAGCAGCTCAACGTCACCCTGGGAGACGAAAACAACGCCTGCCACCAGGGACCAACCACGCACTTCCCGGATGTAAGTTCTCGGTTTGGGAAGTGTCTGTGGGGCTTGGGGGAGGGGGGGGGGCAAGTTATCACCAATTGTCAGCGTCACTTTTTTCACGTCACCAGCAGCTAGTGTACATTATGCTGTTAAAAAAAGAAAAGAAAGAAAGAAAGAAAGAAAAAAATAGGAGTGAATTCTGATGTGATTTTTATCATTCAGAGGATGTTTATTGTGGATAGAAAAACAGAGGTAAATGATTGTCGTTGGAAAAAAAAAAATCTTGCAGTATTTAGAAAATACGCCATTTCGTACAAAAACGCAATTTCCTTGCAATAAACGGATAAGAATACTTTTTTCCCCTATACGAAAATACTTTTTTGACCTGAGAATGCGAATCACATTTATTTTAACATGCCTCACAAAGTGAATAAGTATCATTTCCATTGCAGAAAATGGCATATGGGTATATTATATTGTCCAGTGTTCTGCAGCAGAGTACCGTTTGGTTGCATATATACATATATATATATATATATATATATATATATATATATATATATATATATATATACATATATATATATATATATATATATATATATATATATATATATATATATATGTATATATATATATATATATATATATATATATATATATATATATATATATATATATGTACATATATATATATATATATATATATATATATATATATATATATATATGTATATATATATATATGTATATATATATATATATATATATATATATATATATATATATATATATATATATATATATATGGGAAATTCGGTAAACTGTAAGGGCATACACACACACACACACACACACACACACACACACACACACACACACACACACACACACACACACACACACACACACACACACACACACATACATAATGGCAATATTAAGGATAACGACAGTGATGTTAACTGCTATTATAATAAATGTTTCAACAATAACCAAAAAGACTAATTGCAAAGATAATCATACATAACAAAAAACAAAAAAAAGAAAAAAAAAAAAAAGAAAAAAAAACTTATTTACATAAAAACAAAGTACAAACACGATTCAAACATGAACTGCATTTTAATAATACACACGAAAACACACACACACACACACACACACACACACACACACACAAAATAAATAAAAAAATAAAATCAACTCAGCACCCAATCCCCCCCCCCCCCTTTGCAGTACTTCACCTTCTGCGTGCTGGTGGTGATGGTGTCCTGTGCAGTGTACCAGCTCATCTTCTGCATCATTAAGCTCCTGCTCCTGGTCGCCATCTGCGTCGCGTATCTGTCCATGGTCCTCTTCACGCACGGCTCCCTCTTTGATAATCAGGATGCTCTTCTTCTGATGAGTAAAGGGTATTTATCACTCTTACTGATGATTATGAGATATTTATTGTTATTACTGATGAATAAAGGGTATTTGTTGCTATTACTGATGATTAAGAGATATTTATGGATATTACTGATGAATAAAGTGTGTTTATTACTATTGATGATAGTAGAGGGTATTTATTACCATGACTGATGAATAAGAGATATTTATTGTTATTACTGATGGATAAGAGATATTTATTGCTATTACTGATGAATAAAGGGTTTTTGTTACTATTATCATTTTATTTGGAATATGGAAAGGAAAGTATTAAACATCTAAAGATATATATGTATTTTTTTATATGCAAGAAATGGCAGTTATGCTCTGAAAATAGAAAATATATTATCTGAATTTCCATCTATTATCAAACTCCCACAGACCTGACAATGAAAACCTAAAAATGACTTACTTTGCAGGGACGGAGAAGTCTTCATCTCACGGTACGTCACAGTAGCAGTTCTGATAGGATTTACTATCGCCTTCTTCATCCATGCTCAACAGACAGAGGCTACGTCCAGACTAGACTTCCTCTGGAAATTGCAGGCTCATGGTAGGTTGCACTAAATTATTTGATTGGTGTAAAATAAATGTGTGTGATATGTGTATATATGTATGATTTTTTTTTTTCTGAATAAAATGGTGCAAGGGAGGGAAGGAAAAAAAGAGAGAAATGTAGGTACTGGGATGCTTAGCAGAACATGGAGACTTATGACTGCAGCAGATCTTAGGAATGGGAAATATTGCATGGGAAGTCCTTCGTAAAATGATGAAAGCTTGTGCGCATTTCCAGTTTTATGATGGAGGGAATGGTTCATATTGGATATACCAGCACTTATATTTTGATATTACTGTCTCAGGCCACTCCACAAAGATATTCAGATATTGGTTTTCATAGCAGACTTAAACTGATTATGCACATTTTCTTTTATTATCATTGGTTTCCCTTTGAAGTGTGATATATTGCACCCCAAAACAAAGCAATACATGATATGATATGCTTAAAAGATGACTTTTCAATGCTAACATTACCCAGACTCACTAGTGACGGGTCTTGCAACTTCAGAACAATTACATATTCAACTCCCATTTTGAAACATCCTGGATCTGTCATGACAATCCCGAACAAGCCTTTCAGCCTCTCTTGCCTTTGCCAAAATACCCTCTGGCCTCCCAACCCCTTAACATGATATGTGGCACTCGAAGCATTTTTTTAGGCAAATATTACACATTATTTCCTGGAATATTTTCAAGATATTATTACTTAAAATGACTTTACATGGTCTTTACAGTAAAGTGTTTATGTCCTATTTGCACACTCACATTTCCTTTTAGATTATCATAAAGACCTTTCAAGCACTACAGTAAAAGAAGAAGAAAAATTAGTAATGTAATCCAGCTTTTATATTATATTAACTATTATTATTATTATTGCAGAAGAGAAAGATGAAATTGAGCATCTTCAAGCCTATAACAGGAAACTGATAGCTAACATTCTACCAGAACATGTTGCCGTTCATTTCCTGTGCACAGACAGAGCACCAGATGTAAGTGTGGTATATAAGATCTTTGTGTCATATATATGTTACTTGTTTTGTATGTGTTGCTCTGTCAGTCAGTATAGAAACAATGCAATGGATTTCTACTTCAAAGAGAGCATTAAAAGATACAGTTTGGCTTATGTAGTTTGATGTAGTTACATGAAAGGTAAAATGGATTATAAAAAGTTGGTTTTCAAATTACAATTGTAGTTACATAATAAGCTCTACATTCTGATGAATTACACGTAAACAGTATATACATATATATAATGCATATGTATCTATATATATTTTATTTTCTGACTGCAGGAACTTTACCATGAAGAATGTGAAAGTGTCTGCATCTTATTTGCTTCCATCCCAAATTTCTCTGACTTTTATGTTGAACTTGAGTCCAATAATGAAGGTGTAGAATGTCTGCGGCTTCTCAATGAAATCATAGCAGACTTCGACGAGCTTCTTGAAGAGGAACACTTCAAGTGGATTGAAAAAATAAAATCCACTGGCGCCACTTACATGGCAGCTGCTGGTATATTTATTTTGTCATACTTACTAAAGTGAATGATGTAATGCAACATTCTTGACATAGTAAGAGGAGATTTATGTCATATATTAACATAGTTTAGATTATACTAACACAAATGTTGTATATTTCTCATAATTTTGGTAGTATTTTTAAATGAAATCCTCAAATCACTTTGTTATATTTCTGTACAGGACTCACAAAATCTACTAGGGATTTGAAAAGTTTCCGTCACGTGACAGCTATGGCTGACTATGCTCTGCGGATAAGAGACCAACTGGAGTATGTAAATGAACATTCCTTTAATAACTTCAAAATAAGAATAGGCAAGTATTTTATGCACTTTTTTACACTTTTATAAGTTGTATTTTACATAGTGAATGATTGCAGAATAGACTATGTTATTGGTATTTCCAATAAGGAGATGGCCCTGTTAGAAATAAAAGTCTATTATTCCATAATCTATCAACTAGTTACATTATTTACTTGAAGTGAAATGAGAATGTATTATGTTGGATATTTCCTTTGCAATAAATGCAAGAGAATTATTCATAGGATATGAATATAGTGAAATATTCAATTTATATTAATTTTATGCTTATATACAATTTGTTATATATTGCATTTGAGCTGGCCAAAGTATATTAACAAATCCATTAGACTGTAGTATGAATGGAAAGGAAATTTTATGAAAATCTTGAGTATAAACCTTTCCATACACAGGATAATACAAATTAAATGTACCTTTAAGAGAGAAAAAAGAAAAAGGTATATATTAATGAGTGGATGTGCTAATTCAT